AGAGGGCGGAGAAATGGTCGGTCAAATTGGGGGGAGCAAGACCCTGGATTAAATTTCCCTGCAAGACAAAAACAAAGACGACATCAGCACAGAGCAAGAGAAAGGACTCAAATAACAACAAGCAAGAAAAATAAAAGCACGCCTCTTCATCATTCCAAAGCGTGCAGTAGTTAAAGATAAGCGAAGGATCCTTCAAACCATAGGACCCCCAAGCGTGCACCAGGCGTAGTTTGAGCAACGTGTGTAGGCCGTCAGTTGCACCAACATCCAGCAGAAGCTTATGAGTAACCATGGCGGGAATCAGAGAAGAACCGAAGAGGGCGGATAAAGAGAAAGAAGCAGATGAGGGGATTGAGGGGAAAATCGAGAAAGCATAAGATAAGGAAGGAAGAGAGCAAAAGCAGTCGGACTTGAGGCGGTGGCCAACCATCGCAATGAAAAGACAGGCCGACCTCGGTCGGACCTCGAGGAATCCCAAAAGTAGCGGCGACAAAAAAGTAGACGAAGAGAGAGACAGACACGAGCAAGTATCGTTGCAGAGCAGAGAAAAGGAACCGAGATCGTTTGGGCGAGCACCGTCTTGGGAATAGAAAGCAAACAATCTTTTTTCGCTTTAGCTTGTCTAGGCTGACGCTTCTTTTCTGTAGCCTTTATCAAATATTAAAGAATTAATTACAACAATGATGGAAACAAAGGCAGTGACTAATTACGGTAGTGCCACCCATTGGATGGGACACTAAGGAACAGTAGACCAAAATGTCCTCTCTGCTATTATGATAGAATTGATTATATCTAGACAATAAATAAAAGTTAAATGAGAAAACTTGAAGCTCCATTTCAAATTTCCTGCATCCAGAGTGAAAGTAGGAAGGACATTTTGGTCTTCACAATTACTTTTTTTTATTCATTAAAAAGACACTTACTAGGATTCGGACCATGCCCACTTTAAAGAAAAGCAAAGATCATAACCAATCACACTAAGTATATTTGTTGTATCTTTTTAAATTAAAAACATATAATCGTAGAGAGGAAAAAACCCTTCCCCCGTTTCAAATTCCATGCACCAAGAGCGTTTGTAGGAAGGGTAGAATAGGGAGTGTCAATTTTTTTCTTTTTCCTCTGTGAAACGGGCCAACTTACCGCACACATGCGGATTTAAACGGGTCCAGGAGTGTCAATTTTTTTCTTTATGTCCTTTTATTTCTCCGTGGTGGTAAAATATATATACTAAGGCAAAAACAATACTCCTTTTAATTGCTAAAAAGAAAAAAATTTAACAATAAACTAATGCATGGATTCTATTGGGCTAACCGCTAATCATAAAATAAAAGAGTTGAATGGGCCTGACCTACACGGGATTTGCCCATAAAGTAAAACAAATGAACATCATGGGTTTGTCATTCTAAAACAAGCTATTTTCTCTAGCATAATATATATTATGCTATTATTTTATATCTTAGTGGCTAAAATATAATGTATTTTAAAGCTATTCAATGGTTCAACCTCGACCAACCCAATTAGTCGAGATTTTTCCAATAATAGCACCCTTTAAAAAAAATTACAAAACTAGCACCCTTCCAAAAATAATTACAAAACTAGCACCTATTTTAATGGAACGCACCTTAGAGGTGCGTTTTCATCATAAATCGCACCCCTAAGATGCGATTTCTAATGTAAAACGCATCCCCAAGATGCGTTCCATATTTGGTCGCCAGCGACCTTCCGGATCGCACGATTGAGATGCGATCCAACGGGCTGGAGCATAGCCACGTGACTCGACTCTACTGTCACCCTAGGAATTGGCCAAGTGAAACCACTTCCTAAAGCGTAGTATAGCGGGTTAGGTTTATATGTCAACCCGGGTCCTAGATTTGCTGACTACTCAGTGAGTTCTTGTTATCTAGCAATAAAACTGGAGTGCAAGTCTAAACTACCAAACAAACAAAGCAAGTAAACTGGTTGTATTCAGGTTAAAGAGGTCACCCGGATATGGTTCCCCCTAGACTGTAGTTAAGCCGGATTGTAATTACCAAGTTCAGTTTCTATGAAGATTATACTGCGGAAGGTTCTTAAACAGCCTGAAGTCTCGACTAAAGGTCTTCAGACCCTCTCAATCTGACTCTCTAGCGGGCGACTAACCTCCACCGGAGTCGACAGATTGAGGCCCTAAGAACAAAACCTCCACTACCGGAGTAAATCCGGTACAGAATAGTGAGTTGGCTCCTCGACTAAAGTCACCAACTCCCTACCTTCAATCAAGGATGCTCTATCAACCTAGTCAGATATTCTCATTCTAGGTTAAAGCAGAAACAACAGGAATTTGATCAGGATTCAAGTCATTCAATCATTCAAACCTCAATCGAATATAATCAATTCATAGAAATAGTACTCGGGTTCATACAATCAATCTCAACATACAGAACTAGGGTTTCCCACACCCAGATGAATGGGAGAACTACTCCATGGAGAGAGAAGCAAAAGCAGAATCAGATGCGGAAATCATACTGTGAAGATGGATTTCTGCTCCTGGACGTTGAATCGGCACTTCTCCAAGCTCAAACCAAGCTCCAATGGTGTTGAAGATCGATCTAGGGCACTTGGAGACTCTTGTTCGTCGCTTTCTCTCTCTAGGAATCGTTCTATCTCTCTAAAACTCGAATCCCCTCTCAATTTGGCTGAAATCTGCCTAAAAGGGCATCATTGGCCAAAACACGGTCGAGGGCACGGCCGTGTTTTGCCTCAGCCCGCCCGTGTTTTGCCTCAGCCTTAAAAGCACGGCCACGGGCAGCTTGAAAACACGGTCGTGTTCAGCCTAAAACACGGCCGTGTTTTCCTCAGGCCTGCCCGTGTTTTTTAGGTTGTGCACGCCACCCTTAGAAGCCTCGGCCATAAAAGCACGGTCACAGGAACACGGCCGTGTTCTGAGGGCCTCCTGCCCGTGTTTTGGTCCTGGCTCGTCCAAACGACTTCCAAACGATCCGAAACTCGTGCTTGGCCTTCCCTTTGACGCCTGGGACCTGAAATAGGACAAAGTAGCACAACCCGGCGTAAAATAGGCCAAAACACACAACCATGCTCCGCAAATGGATAAGAAATAGGGGTAAAAAATCATGTAATTATATCGTTATCACCACGTCAGCAATCCGCGCGGATTATTGTGGATCGCACTGGCGAGGTGCGATTTCTCGCCGGGAAAAGTGGAGCGTTCAACGCCTCGGGACGCGGAGATCGCATCAGGGCAGTGCGATTTGGCGCTGAGATCGCACTGGGGAGATGCGATTTAGACGGGGTAAAATTACCCTACCGCCCCTGAGGGGTGCGATCTGTTGGGTATAAATACCCCCCTTCCCCCTCGAGTTTCTTCACTCCACACAACCCATTCTTCCTTCTCTCTCTAGAAATTCATCTCTCTAAACCCTCCCCTCCCAAAAGCCTAGGAAATAAAAGTTTGTTGGTTGCGGCTAAGTCCGATCTGCCATCAGAAAATATTTCTTAGGTTTTTTCCTAAAAAACCCGCCGAGCCGAGCCGAAGCTCTGTCCGAATTACGCCGAAAAAATGGCCGATTGGTGGCAAGGAGAAGGAGTTTATGTCGATGAATTTCAAGCGGTATGTACTCATCATTCTGGTTTAATTTTTATTGTTGTTATAAGTTTTTTAATTAATCTATGTACTAACCTAGTTATTTTCTCGTAGGTTGGGGAGGACGTCGATATATACAACCAAAGGTATTATCTCGAGCAAGGACCGGTGGATCCAACCGACTTGTACGACCAACCCAACCATCGGTCAAGGGATGTTTGGAACGATCACCCGGTACATACAATTCTTCACCATTTGTCCTTCTTTTATTTTGTTAATGTGCCTAGTGTAATATAAAATAAATTTATGTTTATTTTTTAATCGTGTTGGTGGTTTTCAATAATTTAATCGAATACATAGCGCCACTTACTTCGACTCTTTATAAAGAGATGCACGTCTAAGGAAATGGGGTTTTAAGCGATTATCATATCCTCCCATTACCTGGGAAAATCGGTTATTAAGAGATCCTCGGATCCCCCCTTTTTCTGTCAAAAAGACTGCGTTTCTAAGAAGATGTATACCTCTTCTAAGAGTCTAACGAGTGTTGCTTTGTATTCGATTAAATTATTTAAAATAACTAATACGATTAAATTATTTACCAAACATTTGAATATGTATGTTTCTACTTAAATTATTATTCATTAACAATGTTATTTATGTTAATTAATTCAGTATGTTTGTTTTACGATAATATGTATGTACCTCTTTAAATTATTATTCATTGACAATGTTTTATGATAATATGAAATGTCTTTTTATGATAATAAAATTATGTTTTATGTCGCATAATTTAATTAAATTAATTTAGTTATACGAAAAAAACCCTTACTAATAATAATTAACGTGTACATTTTTCCTAGGAGGCACAAACAATAATCCGCTACAGGGGTACCACAAATGTGCTCCCATTCCACCCCGCTATCTTGCCATTTCTCAAAAGGGCACGGTTAGACTCGATTAGGCATTTTAACGGCATCCAAATCGATCGTCAACTCATCACCGCATTAGCCGAGAGATGGAGAAAGGAGACCCATTGTTTCAACTTTAGAGAAGGAGAGGCCACCATCACGCTAAAAGATGTCGCCATCCTAACCCATCTGCCCATCAACGGCAAACCGGTGTGCGTGAGTGATCATCCCCCCGAGGATTGTGACGGTATGCCCGGTTGGCAGCATTTCATCCACAGTCATTTGGGAGTGAAAGTACCGGTGAAGGGTTGCGTTGATGCGACCGATCGCATGCCACCATTGAGGAAACACCAAGTCTCAATTACATGGTTGACGAAGTATTTTAGAGATCATTACGAGAGTCATCCGCTTACCGATGAAAGTCCGGAGGATGAGAAGGAGAGATATGCTCGTGTCTATCTCATAGGCATGATCGGAGGAGTGTTCTTCTCCAAGAATCATCTTCAGTAGTTGGGAGGAGATGGGGGAGTATAGTTGGGCATCTGCTTGCCTAGCTATGATCTACCACAACTTGTGCAATGCGTCTCTAAAAGCCGTGAGGGAGGTCAGCGGCGCAATGTTCATCGTCCAATTTTGGGCTTGGGAGCATATGCCATGGCTTGCACCGGCCCAACGTCCAGACAGGGATTGGCCAATCGATCATCCCCTAAGAGGTGAAGCTTATGGAGCAAGGTAAACTTCTCATACCCCATCATGTAGTCATAATACATTTTGCCTTGTGTTTTATCTTATTGTAGTTTCATTCTTGTCTTATTAATAAGGTGGCTTGGACACACAACATGCGACAACCTTGCCCAACACAAGTTGGAGGAGTATCGGAGGAGGTTTGAGCGACTTTGGGAAGGAGAGGTAACTTCTATACTGCGATCCATTTCTATTTGTTTTTCATGGGATTACATGTATTTTTCTAATTAATTAATCTTACGTTACTCATTTCTTTCTTGTAGATCGTCTTCGATCCATACCCGCAGAACATCGTTCAATGGCATCTCCAGCAATTCCCCGATCATATCGGGCAATGGTGCACGAGGGTTCCTCTAATTTGTTTTGGGACCATGGAGTGGCACTTGCCGGATCGATGCCTCCGTCAGTTTGGTCGGGAACAGTGCATTCCGTTGGTGGTCCCCGAAAGTCAAAGGGCCTTCCATGGCCGAGATGGTTGGCAAGGTACTCGCGATTGGCCCACGAAGTTGAAGGAATTCATCGCGATTTGGGAGAAATGACAACTACAGGATATTGTCACTCCAAATCAAGTGGGCCGAATGGGGTATCATGACCCATACTTGGATCGATATCGGCAAACATCGGTGCGTTACATGACTCCGGAGGGTGCGACCGATGGTGCATTAGTAAGTATAACCAGTCTAAACATACTATGATTTATTACTTGGTTCCTAAAATCTCTTTGTAACCTTTTTTTTTTTTGTGATTTAGGCTGATGGGGTCGAGCGGATTAAAGAAATTACTACCGGAAGAAATGACTTGGGCAATGAAGATGTGGGCTTCATCAGGAGGATTGCAAACAGTCTACTTGGCTGTATCAGAGCTCAGGGCCGGGATCATCGTAGATATCCGCCCCGTGCCGCACCCCCACCACCTCCGGTACAACTTGATGTTCCCGCACCCCCACCACCATACGAGAGAAAGAAGCTGAAGAGGGTTCGGGAAAGGCCCATCGAGCCCGAGGTAACGCCATTTGGGGGGTGGAGAGTGCCGCCCCCATTGGTTGTCACCCAAGGTGCCGGACCGAGTTCGACCCAAGGTGCCGGCCCGAGTTCCACCCAAGCTCCCCGCCCGTCCTCCGCCCCATCTCCCCGCCCGACTATTTCACAAGATGCCGGCCACAACGATCACCACCAAAGCTCATACTACGATCCCCGCTCGACCTTCCATCATTCCTCTCAGAGTTTCCACCAAGCCCCATTATCTCCCACCCCGATCTCATACAACGATCCCCGCGGAGCATACTACGATCCCCGCGGAGCATACTACGATCCCCGTGGAGCATACTACGATTCCCGGCTATCTCCCCGCCAAACATCATCTGGGACTTGGCATGATGGCTCCTCCACCACAGGCCAACACGAGTTCACCCCATGGAATCGACCTCCTGGTCAGCAGTGGCCTCCTACTCCTCACCGTATGAGCGCCGATGTCGCCCGCTCGACCCCGGAAGTGCCAGCTCCCCACCGACATAGCACCGACGAGCGCCACACTACCTCGGCCGTTCGAAACTTGCCACCTCCACCACCTATTGTTACTCCCGTCGGCAAACGTACAAGGAGCAAGAAAACTGTTAGTTCCGCATCCGCTCGTGGACTTCCTTGAGATGTAGTTTGAGTTGATTTTTATCTCTATGTACTTGGAACTATTCCCTTTAATTTAATCTATCGTATTTCGTTGAGCTTCATCAAATTGTTATTATCATGGTTCCTCTTCACTTGATATAATCCCAATTCATTCAATCAACAATACACAATTAAATGCAACGTAAGAGTTACAACTAGCTTGACGAATGATAATCGAAAATTATGTCGCATTAGCTGATTCCGGCACATCATCACCCGGATTTTGCGGACCAATCGGTCCTGGACACCTTCGTTTATCATGTCCTGGACCTTTGCATACTGAACACCGTCTTGGGCCTCGTGGTGGTCTTCCACTTTGATCCATTTCATTCTGAATTCTCTTTTTCCTCGGGCGCCCCGGTTCACGCCTCTGTCCGAATGGCGGGACGATCAATTTCCCTTCGTACAGCGGCCAATAAGCTTCATCAGGCAATGCACGGAAACTCCGTCCATAGGTGCTTTTGAGTGAGTCGATATTGAAGAATGGACTAACGAAGTGACGGGGGTCTTTGCTCCTCTTTTTAATTACGGCCATTGCATGAGAACAAGGCCATCCTCTCCCCTGATACTTCTGGCATGAGCACTCACCAACTTTGGTCCTGAAATTGACCAAAACTTCGTGACGGTGCCCCCCCCCCCCCCCCCCCCGTCTACCATCCTCCCGATGCCCGTTCGTCACGCTATACTCACCAGTTGCCCGATTCATAACGGTTACACTATGTCGACTACTCTTGCGATTGTCACTATCCATTATTTCAGTGACTTGGGCGTGCCGCACATCCTTCTTCGAGCCAAATTGTTGGCCCTTCGTAAACCCAGTGAGTGGGCCCCATATTGGGACCTCTGGCGGCTCCATGTCGCTGTCGACCATCCAATTGTCGTCTGGAATGTGATTGTAGTAGGGGACTGGTACACGGTCAGGAGCCACATCATGATCATTATCTGAATCATCAGCACCTTCAAGAGGTTCTGAGCTGTCTGCACTGACGTTGTTCTCTCCTTCTTCATCAGAGGGGTCGCTGACTGGTGCTGGTGTGGCAGCCTCCATCTGATCCTGCTCATGAAAGGCACCTTCATCAGCTCCATAATGGTAGTTGTGAAAACTACCGCTGCCTGTCAGGAAGTTGTACTGGGCTTGGTTGGGGATGTCCGGTTGAACTTCTTCTTCATATGACGAGAAAGATTGATGATGGCCAGCACCTTGCCCTCCATCTTGGTACTGAAAATAGGATTGAGGATCATGGTAACTTTGGTAGGGATGATCGTCATATAATTCACCTCCACCATGGATACCAGATGTTTGATCGTGTCCAGAATGACGTCCAACACCAACGGCTGGCTCGGTGTAAACGAACATCTCGGCTTTGGCCAATTTGTTGGACCTCAAGAATTCGAGCATGGAATCTAGGTCATCTTGAGTGGTTATGGTATATTCCTCATGCCACAATGACCCAGTTGCTCTGTTTGGGTATCGGTACACCATACGATCTACCCTCCTCGTGCCATCCATGCAAGTAACGTCAGTGCATATTTGATGGAGGTCTTCAAGCTTCGGTCTGGTACCGACCGTTATTTTCTGAAAATTGCCACCGACGTAGGTGGCCCCCTTTCCGGTCTCTTCCGTGTAACCATTCCACCTTAAGCCAAGCGTTAACTGACGGAATGCCAACTCCAACGCGGCGCTGTGCAGAACCTTCCCATCAACATTCTCTGGAACATGCCTCGATTGGTATAACAGGCTCCCGAACGGAATCATCCGCTCGTTCGAGGAATTCATACTTCTGTTCACAACGAAGTTCGCGTCCCAAAAGAGGCGGCCTCTGCACCTCAAGGCGCTGATAGACATCAAGCAAAAGGAGGGAGAGAGCTTGCGGGCTTTCTACGCTAGATGGTCCAGGGTGGCAATGGCCGTGCGCGATCTCACCCCCGAAACCGCCGCCCATCACCTTATGGAAGCCACCAACAACATGGAGCTCAAGCGTGCGCTAGCAAAAAGGCCCGTAACGCTATCAACAGAATTGGAGTGGTCACCTTCCCAGTAGTAATTGGAGACCAAGAGCCGCGCGTCTCCAAACAAGTGGAATTCACAATCGTCGATTGCAAATCGACGCACAAAGGCATCCTTGGCCGACCGTTCCTTGCGAAATTCATGGCCCTCCCGTCGACGTGCCACCAGAAGCTCAAATTCCCCACCCAAACAGGAGTCGGAGAGGCAAGGGGAACGACATGGGAAGAGCGCGGTGAGGTGCGCCAGACAAACATCGTCGACACAAGAGCAGAGGAGCCCCGCCCAGAATCCATGGACTCCGATTTCGAAGTCGCGCTGGACCCCGCCGAGCCGACTAAGAAAATACGCATCTCCACTCACGTCAGCGATGACGCGATCAAACCACTCGTGGCGCTGCTGAAGGAGTACAAGGAGCTGTTCGCTTGGTGCACAGAGAACATGCCATGAGTGCCCAGGCAAATAGCTCAGCATTGCCTCGCGATCCCAATCAACGCGGAACCAAGGCAACAAGGGCGAAGGACGTTCACTGGTGACAAACTGAAAGCCATAGAAGAAGAGGTGGCGCGCCTACTAGCTGCAGGATTGATCCGCCCCGTGAAGTATCCAAAGTGGTTGGCAAATGTGGTCCTGGTTAAAAAATCTTCAGGGGCCTGGCGGATATGCGTCGACTATACCACAATCAACAAAGTATGCCCGGGAGACCCTTACCCCCTACCGCGCATCGACCAACTGATCGACGCGACCGCCGATCACGAGACGTTGTCTTTCCTCGACATGTTCTCGGGATACCACCAAATCCCAATGTCCATTGAAGATGAGGAAAAAACGGCGTTCATGACGCCATTTGGAAACTTTTTCTTCGTCGGAATGCCGTTTGGGTTGAAGAATGCAGGCGCGACGTACCAAAGAATGATTGATTCGGTGTTCTCACAACAGATTGGGCGGAACATCGAGGCATATGTGGATGACCTCATCGTCAAAACGAAAGCGGGCCCCTCACATCTGGAAGACCTGCGTGAGACATTCGAAGCCCTCCGCAAGCACAGTCTTCGCCTCAACCCACTCAAGTGCGTTTTCGGAGCGGAAGCAGGGAAGTTCCTTGGGTTCATGATAACCAAGCGCGGCATAGAGGTTGACCCGAAACAAATCACCACGGTCCAACAACTTCGGGCGCCTCGGAACGCACTAGAAATTCAGTCCCTGAATGGTAAGATAGCGGCACTAGGAAGGTTCATACCAAGGTCTGCCGACAAATGTGCGCCCTTCTTCAAGACACTCAAAAATGGCGCACGTTTCGCATGGTTTAAGGAGTGCGAAGCGGCATTCCAAGAACTAAAGGCGTATCTTGTATCCCCCCTGTATTAACCGCTCCCAAGCTTAATGAAAAACTATTCTTGTACCTCGCTGTGTCGACA